TGATTTAACAAAAAAAAAAGGGCCATAATTTCATTAACTGAATTGTGGACACTCCTAAGTTTAGGACATCTGATGAAAAGGACCGCTTTTCTCCAAAGAAACGCCAAAATCTGTATCTAAATCTACCCTTCCCCATTGCACCCTGGATATATAGCCTATGCCACCGTTTTAAATGGCATTTTTCTAATATTGTAAGTATTTCAGTAGAGTTGGGATGTGTTATTACCATATGGTTGCAGCATTTTCTTGTAGCTATCCAATAAGAGAGGGACACGACGCAATCCAAAAGAAAAAGAATCTCACGCTATCGAAGGTCCCAAGAAAATGCTGCAACAGTGGCTTAGGATTTCGTATATACTTTATTAATTTTATATTTGTTCTGCTAAGATTCCGTATAAATAAATTATATCAAATTTGTTTTATTTTACGCTATCCCCTTACTTTACATTGTAGTCATGTAATGGAGACAATGCAAATAGGATAGAAAATTATATGTGACCACATGGAAGGTTGGCTCGGAAAGTGCATCTGTGGCATGTGAGTAACTCACGTGCATGATACAGAAATTCATATTCTTAATTTTTTATCTTGAAGAGAGGCAAATTTGTATAAGTAGGGGCTCGACATTTTTAATTTCTTTGGGAGGGTGTGGGGAGTTCGCATCTTTGACTACCAAAGATTCGGCCCTGAGCTATTTAATTATAATTTTTTTGATACGCAAGACTTATTTATAAAGTCTATTGTTCAATCAAGAGACACTGGTTTTTTGGATTTTGAGAAGGGAAAAGTTGGTTAAATTGAAAAATTTATGTTTTTTTAGATTTATATGTGGGGATCTGGAAATTTTTATTTTTTGGGTATCATTTAATTGGATAAGTGATACCCATTTTGCAAGTGGGTAAATAATTTTCTTACTTGGGGGGAAAATGTGAACACTTGGATGGGACAAAAATGTCCTTTTTAATAATAGATTTTTATGGCTAAAAACGGTTATTATTTTATTTACTTGGGAAATATAAGAACGTGGGTAAATACACTTATCCAAGTAAATGTATCTCAAGAAATACTTACTCGAATAAGTGTATTTACATAAATAAGTAACTTATCGAAAACCTTTCAAAATAAAATACTAAGTTGAGAGATTAATATAAGTTCAAGCATTCTGAATGTTTATGATTTGATGGGTGATCTTCTTGTTACACAAATAGCATTCTAGCAGATATAATTGACGTTGAAATTTGTCTCTCTAAATAATTTTTATTTATCATTCAATTATTATTCCAACCAGTGTTTTCGAACTGTTGTTGACCTGAATGGTCAAACCATTCAGCTTGAGAATTGTCCAAGCAACCTTTTTGTTTCACCCTCAACTCGGTCCCTGGCAAAAAATTATTGATTTGGTTAGCAATTTGTTGACTTGGGGCGGTTGAACCACCGAACTGTTTGACCCATTCAACAGTTTTTTGCCATTTTATTTTAATTATTTTTTTTCATTTGGAAGGGAACATCCATTCAAGTTGGACAATTGAACTGTCGACCCAGAAACCGGTGGCCATAACAATTCTAGTTCCAAGTCATTTTTTAAAACCTTATATGGGGGCGACTACATGAATCTCGTTTCTCAATGTCCATAATTTCCATTTATATTGATTGAACTTATTCATTCTTTACCGCCTCCAAAAAATGGAACTTGTTTTTTAAAAATTTGATTTTCAATAATAATAATAAAGTTAAAAACTTATATTATCTTTATTGATTAAATTGAGTAATTTGATATGTAGATTATCATAATGTATTAATATATAGTTCAAAACTTATCATTATAATTTAAATTTTGTAAATATTACCATTTACATTACTTATTATACACAAATATTAAACTGAAGAAAAATAACCAAATCATTTAAGTGAATCAATGGTTAAGTGAGACTATGATCTTTGTAACCATGATAGGGGTGCAAGTCGGGCAGGTTGGGCCGGGTTTATGATCAACCCAGGCCCGACCCTAAAATTTGGGCTTAAGGCCCGATCCCGAGGTCAAGCCCAATTTTCCCAACCCGAGCCTAGCCCACCCTATAATTTGATGCACTTGGGTTGGGCTCAGGCTTGGGTTGGTCAATGAACCCACTCTAAAATTATACATATATATATATATATATATATATATATATATATATATATATATATATATATATATATATATATGTATGTATGTATGTATGTATGTATGTATGTATGTATGTATGTATGTATGTATGTAAATATGTATGTAACATTTACATATATATACATATATGTATAAATGTATATAATTGGGTCGGGCTCGGGCCAGGTTCAAGCTACCAAAGGGCTAAGCCCGAGCTCGGCCCAAAAAATAAAAAAACCCAATTTCCTGGGCCTGAGCCCAGTTCGAGGACCGAAAATGCAAGCCTAGCCCGTGTAAAATTCCGGGTTGGGCCAGTTTGGGCTCGGGTTGGGCCTGCCCACGTTGCACCCGTAAACCATGAGTGTTTAGGTTTAAATCCTCACAAGTCACAACCTTAAAATATTTTGGAATTCTAGAAAGCCTTAAAACTTGACATGTGTTCATTCCCTAAGGTTGTGTTTGGTTTGAAGAAAAAAGTAGAGAAACCGTTACAAATCTTGTATAGTTTTTCCAAATTTTCCCTACTTTTTCTTTCAAACCAAACATATTCTAACGTGATGTTAAATCACTCATACTGAATTCATCAATACAGTAAAGGGTGGTAAGGAAAACAGAAGTGACGCTACCTAGTTTGGAAAATGCAAACAGTTCATTTTTCCAGTATAGATTGGAAACTGCAGTTTGTCAAGCGCTCTTGATCTTGAAGAGAATGCCTTCTTCAATTTGGATGAGATATTTTTGTTTTCTTGGAGAACTAAGACTCAGTTTGGAAGGAATAAAAATGCAAATATGTAGAGTGCAAAATCTCATATTTTGTATATATTTGCACTGTACATATTTGTATTTGTACTCTTCCAAACTAAAAAGGGTTTGAACCTTGAAGATGTTGCTTTTTGGGGGGAATTCTTTTACTATAGTTAGATTTCAAACGCTTTTGGAGCCTTTTTCAGTTGGAAATGCTCTCCATCTAAGATAAAATATCCTGACCGGATCGAACTGTGCCGCAAGAGTTAGACATGTACTTGAGCAGTGTGATTACTTTGATGAATCTCCATGGAAATGAAATTCCATTAAGCGTTAGAGATTTGGGACGGCTACTTGATCTGAATGAGTGGTAGTGTGGTACTGCATATTCAGGAAGGATACCCTCCCTCATTGCAAGTGTTAGACACCACGACGACTCCGGACTTAAAAATCTCGCAAAACCTTTCTGGTGAGTTGCCTCTTGAGCTTTCAAGTTTCAGCTTAATTTGGTAAGAGTTTAAATACAAATATGTACACTAAAAATACATAATACAAGATAGGGAAAATTCTTAATTAGTACCCTGTACTTTGGGCCTTGTGTTATTTTGGTCCTTGAATTTTAAAATGTAACAATTCAGTACCCAAACTTTTAAAACATACTAATTTAGTATCTAACCATTAACCAACCGTTAAGTGGTATTTGAAAAGATACAAATACCCTTCAAGTGTTATTTAATTTACTTTATCAATCACCCCAACATTGACAAAAAATGAATAGTCCCAAATCTCTGCCTTTTCTTTTCTAGAAAGTTGGGGCCACGTCGCAATGGGCATTCCAGTGACCCCAACTTTCTTGAATAGAAGAGGCAAGGATTTGGGACTGTTCATTTCTGTCTTTTTAAATGCCACTTAACAGTTGGTTAACAGCTAGCTACCAAATTGGCACGTTTTAAAAGCTCAGGTACTAAATTATCGCATTTTAAAATTCGGGGACCAAAGTGACACTAGGCCCCAAAGTACAGGTAGGGGTGGATTCGAGCCGAGCTAAGCTGAATAGTTAGTATTCGAGCTCAGCTCACCAAGGTAGTACAAGGCTCGAGCTCGATTTGGCTTGAGCTCGACTTGAGAAAAATGTTTTATAAAAATAAAAAATATTTTTTATTTGATATTTAAAAAATTAAGAATTATAATAATTAGTTATTATTATATATAAAAATAAAAATATTATATATATAATATTTTTATTATATATATTATTTTCTATAATTTTATATTTTCTTATTATTATTATTATTATTATTATTATTATCATTATTATTATGTAGTTATTCAAGCTGGCTTGTGAGCCTTATAAGCTGGTTAACTTTATTAAGCTCGAGCTCGACTTAATTAATAAATAAGTTTATAAATTGGACTCGAACTCAACTCAAAACTCATTTAAAACCAAATCGAACCGAATTTTTCACGAGCCAAACTTGACTAAATCGTAAAGAACTCGGCTCGTGGCCATCGGCACTAATCAGGAATTTTCACTACAAGATAATACAAAATACAAAAAGGTTTGCCCGGGGATGCAATTGAAGGGTTCAGACATTCAGTAATTTGTCAGTTTACATACAGATTACAGTTTCAGTCAGTCAGGTGGCTCGGCTCATACATATGACTCTTTTAAGGTGGACTGGAGGGAGATTGACGGTTTGGACTCGCCGGGATTTTACGACGAGTCCAAATGCAAAAGTGCAACTGACCAGCTCGACTGCACGTAGCCACGTATACGGTCAATGGCCAGTGGCCAGTTGGCCAGTGTGGAGTTGGGTTGGGCCTCTCCTTTATAGTATTAACTCCACTTGCTCAAGATAATGCAGAGGTCCTGTGGGCCGTGGGCTGTGACCAAGGTTACAGTTCAAATGTGCTGTCCTGAATCCTGATCTTGAAATGATGGTGCAGTTAACAGTAACTTTCAGTTGCAGGCCTTCAGCTGATCGGGTTCAGGTTGTACCATCTGCTTCTCACTACAGTCAAAAAAGGACGCTGCATTCAATGCGATGGGAGGTATCGGATTCCCCTGGCGGTTTTCCTCCTTCCATGTTTAAACTTTAAACGATATCACAATTGATAGAGAGTCTGCATTTATTCTTTGGTAATTCACGTTACAAAAACGGGGTTGCCTCAATTTTTTTTAAAGGTTTGCTTGCTATTGCCTATTGCCATTGCTATGAGAAGAACGGAGCTTCAAGTGATTTTCTTTCTCCCCCAGTCGGCCAATCCCCTGCCTTGTTAAAGGACAGATATGAACATCGTGCAAGCTCAAGCTCAACTTAGCAGCATTCGTACGTGGTCGTGGGGTCGATGAACTGGGATTAGGATTACTGTGTGGTTTGCAATTTAGGCACTGAACAAGTTAAGGTAAAATTCTCTCCCATAAACGATAAACCCCAGCAAGTAGGAAAAGAAGAAATGGAAAATTGCAGCTTGTGTTGTAATTAGGTTTATTGAATAGGAAAAAGGATAAGAATTAGTTTTATTGAATTTGAATGGATGATTACTTTTGTCTTGGAACTAGCTGATATAGTAGAGAGAGCAGAAGAGATGTCAATTTAAGTTGGAGAAACCGATCCTTCAGCATTCTGCTCCTGTAACTTGAAAAGGCTTACAGAGGCTTAAAGGTCCATGAAATTCTCTCTCTGTCTCTCTGTCTCTCTGTCTCTGATCAAAATAGAAGAATATAGAGCTTTTTATGGGCCAGAGCAACCTCTTTTGGGAGCAAGAAGCCATGATTGAACGAAACTGTACCCACAAGAGCCTGGACGAGCAAATGCTTAGCCCAGCACACGACGGCGACGGGTACCTACACGGTGACTATTTATGTTTCATGAGTAAGCATCAGTTTGGTTCTGTTCGTCCCGAGAACGATTCCTTTCACGAAGGATCATCGACGGGCTCAATTCCTTCTGAGGAGCCACAATCCTTTGGTTCGCGTTCTGCTCTCGGGTCCCGGCAAATGGTTGCATTAATGGAGCAGTCAGACAGGATCACCACTCAAGACTCCCTCACAGAATCTTCGGTGTACAGAGAGATTGGGTACAACAACTGTTTCTTAATTGAGCAAGATATGGAAATTGTTTCCGGCCACTTGATGGGTGGCAAAGACAAGCTAAAGGCTTGCCGGAGGTTGGGAGGAGAGCAGTACCAATCAAAGAACCTCATCACTGAAAGGAACAGAAGGAATAAGATTAAATCTAAGCTCTTTGCACTACGGGCTCTGGTTCCCAAGATTACCAAGGTTTAAACATTATTTATAATTTTGATTCTCATTATCACATAAATTGTTGTATCATTTTTGTTCCTCTTGGATACTTGATTGAATAAATGGCAAATTTAATTTCTTTCCTGCCAATGGGCAATGGCATCTTTAGATGGATAGAATGTCAATCCTCGGAGATGCAATTGAATACATACAAGAATTACAGAACAACGTGAAGAATCTGCAAGATGAGCTCATGTGCAGCCAAGAAAAAGATGAAAGCAAAAGTAATATCCAACTAAACATCCCAAATCGGAGAGGAGGTGCAACAGAAAAGATCAGAAGACAAGTCCATGGAACCAGTTGTTCCTCTTCTACTAGGGAAAATCACGACTTCTCCACTGTGAATGACATGGGACGACAACCAATGGAGGTATTTTCTGGTAGTTAAGCTAAAGCCTTTTCTACTGCATTTATTTGGCATGATGATATACTAGTTCTGGTGTTATACTGTTAGGTGCAGGTGGAAGTACACCAGATAGACCCAAATGAGTTCTTTGTGAGACTCTGCTGTGAGCATAGACGAGGTTGGTTTAGGAGGTTGATGGAGACCATGAATTCTTTGGGCCTTCAAGTTACTGATGTCAATGTTACTACATTCAAAGGCATGGTCTTGTGTAACCTCAAGTCCACTGAGGTAGTTAAGTTTGGGGAGATGGAGATCAGTTTTTAAAAGGCGTTTAAATTCCTTTTTTTTTTCTTGTTTGTTATCTGTTAGTTCTTGTTGAAATGATTAATAAGGTAATTGCCTTCACTCTTGTGATTTGTATCGAAAGGTAAATCATGGGGAGCTTCAAGCACAGCATGTCAAGGAACTATTACTGAAGAAGATATGCAACCCGACTTGAGGGTAAACGAAGAGAGGTCAGAATTTGAAACAAAGGGCGCCTTATATGTACACCATCATAAATCATCAGAGTTATTAGGTAGCAAAATTTTGTGTTTTTTTCTTCCTCTTTCCTTTCTGGTAGCTTTTGAGTCCAACAAGTAGTTGTTTTTCCCAAGTCTATTTATTTTAACTTCACTCCTGCATGTAATGTAGACCTGCTAAATTCCATGGTTCGATATCTGAACGGTTAAATTTCTGAGTGAAGTGTAAGAACATATTTGATCGTACTATCAACATATCTTGACGGTTGGGATATTCTTATTTGTTTCGTTTGATACTAAGAAGTTTACTAATTTAGTGAGTATTGAACTTCAATTCTAATTATCAATAAAATCAGAAGGGTAAGGATCACAGGGCCACCGGCCACCTGAGAGTGGATCTACAGTTTAGAGTTTGCACAAAAAAAAATCAGGGAGAATGACTGTTCAGCCCACCTCAGAATTCTTAGCCTTACTGTACAGGTGGGATGAATCCTGACCATGGATTGATGCCAAATCCATAGGCAGGATGCGGTTTATTGGGGGGCTACTAGTAGACTATGGGGAGCTGTAATTTCAAAATTCTGCGGTGGGCTGCAGTGTACTTCTCAAAAAAAGTTATTGGATGATAAACTTTTAGCCATCTACTTTAGGACTTCATTTATGGAGCTTTTGTTGTATTTCCGAGCCCATTATTGGCCCAGTTAATCTTCTCATATGGGCTTGCAGCACTTGACACAAACCCCACCACACAAATTGAGGAGTTCACTTTCACTCCTTCCATGAAGGCTGAAGCGGAATGCTATCTGCCTATCCACAGTTCCATACAACCAACTGGAAACTATAGCCACAAGGCCCACCTAGCAGGACACTACACCATGAATGACAATATACGAGTACAAAAGATATTCCCAATGTGAACAACAATGTCTTATAGTTGGATGCGTGTAACCTTTTAGTGGGTAGCAGATCTGAACTCCCTTTGGAGCATTCTAATGACAAAAACATAATAAGAAAACTAAAACCTTAAAAAATGATTGTCCATTATTAGTTGCTCAAAAGGCATAGAAAACAGGAAAGTATTATGAGAGTGAGATAGATGCCCAATCCCTTAGTTTGCATCTGCCACAAAACGCTGGCCACATCCTGGTCACAACACACTACAGAAACAATATATTACAACATAAAGTATAAGAGATGTCCCCATTGTGTGACTATAGGGTCTTTATGCCTTTTATGATCTCTTTTTAAGTGGATGGTCAACAGCAGCCCAAATCTTATCAAAGAAAACAGCCGATCTCCTAAACTTAATGCTTTGTACCAAGTTGTACACTAACATTGAGAATTCATTAAAATTCACAGGGGCTTCCATGTGAGAGAGAGAGAGACTATATTCCCAATGGATATCTTTAGAGATTTACTTATTTCGACCAAGTAATAAAAATCCACGTATCCACATTTTATATAACAAGGCAATAGCTTAAAATTGGAGGTTAATTTTTGGTTATGTTACCGTTACTTAGACCAATGATACCAGTTTTAAACATCAAAACAAGTACAGAGTAAATTCAAAGTTAACCAACTCATTCCACCATCAGATTTTCCAGAGACAAGAAGTAACAAAGTGATTCTATCTTGCTTTACTGATCATTTGAATTTCACTGACTGTAACAAAGGACATCTCTGAAAAGATTGCACGATGAAATGAACTACTGTACAAGCTGCTTCTGATGAGGAAAGAGGTCGAGAAAAAATTACAATCTAATAATCTAAATAAGGAGATACTTAAACTGATGAGAAAATCTATGATACAGGAAAGACATGGTATCCAAGAGCTTTGGCCAATCAAAGCATGCACCCCATAAATAGTTATTAATAGCACCTGATTGATCACCTCTTTTATGATATCAATCGATTGGTTGTAATCATGTATTTTCGATATCCTAGTTGAACCCCATTATGAATGCATCAGTAGGCTGTTGAACCAATAATAATGCTCCAAACCAATCATAAAATATGTATACGCCCACAACCATTCAACTTTTCACTGTGGGTCTCATATAATTCTAATTCTAAAGTAATTGGGTAAAAAAGAATCAAGACACAGCTGTAATTTACATACCCTTTAGGTCATCAGCTCTTCAATTGTGTGGGTACCATACAATCATTTAAGTAATAGAATATACCCATTGTGCTAAGGATTGAAAAATTTCTGTCCCATCCAATTAAAATCGAACAGGCCACCCTCTCCTCTTGACTTTCAAACTGACGGAGTCCAGAGCTAACAGTAGTCTGGACTCCAAAATTTTATGAAATCCAATTAATCCTCCCACTTCTTTCTCTTTTCTCATTTCCTCTCTCTTCTCCTCCCTCCCCACCGTCCCTACACAGCATTGAATTGCCCCCATGAGTGCCTGAATCTCCACTGATGAAGGGAAATTTGGCACGACCTCGCAATCATCCGATACGTGGCAAAAACAAGCAACTCGGGGCAGCAGAGCGTCCAAAACGAGCATCGAAATTAACGAAGTCCAAGCTCACTACTGAGCCCGAACTCCACCAGACCGGATTCTCTACTAGGAGCCCGAGCTCCCTACCAAGAGTCCGAGCTCCCTACTGAGAGTCCGAGCTCCCTATTAAGAACCCGAGCTCCCTATTGAGAACCTGAGCTCCCTGCAAGGAGCCCGAACTATCTCGGGTCC